CGGGATCTTCGTCGTGGCATGTGGAGGGCTCGTCGGGGCTGGGGTTGGAGGTAGGAGGAGGAAAAGGAAGAGTAGGGAAGGAGAGGAAGGGGAGAGGGAGGTACGTTGTGCGACGTGGAAGGCACGTCTGGACCAGTGCAATTTTGGAAAGGCGAATTAAGGAGAGGGCGGAGGGTTTTTTCGTTCGACCTTGTAGAGGAGTTCAGTCTCGAGTGGATATGGTCGTAGTCGTCCAAGAAGAAGAAGAAGAAGAAAAGAAGAAGAAGAAAAGAAGAAGACGACGAAGAAGAAATACTAAAATAGTGAAAAAACAGTCGCCATAAAGTGCTCGTACTTGCATAAATAGAACGGCATAACCTCTCCTTATGTACTGTTCTCAGTTGAAACGCGCAAATTCCCCGACGCGTTTCGGCTACGGCTGTGCTACTAGCACTACTCAAGAGGCTTCTCCCAAGCTCGCCTTGCGGCTCCACCGACCTTCCAAGCCATCTGAGTAGCATCAGCAGCAGCAGCATCAGCAGCATCAGCATCATCATCATCATCATCAGCAGCAGCAGTACTAGAAGAAGGAGAAAGTCATGCTGAAAAGATGCGGGGGGGGGGGGGAAGGGAGAAGAGAGCTTCGTCGTGCCACGTGTCAGTTAGTTAAGGGTTGGGGTTGGAGAGGGAAAGAAGAAGAAGAAGAGAAGAAGGACGAGTAGGAGGAGGCAGGGGAGGTGTTCCGCGTAGAAGGCACGTGCGGATCAACGACTGCGAAATGTAGAAGAAGAAGAAGGAGAAGAAGAAGAAGAAGAAGAAGAAGAAGAAGAAGGCACGTAGGAATAGTAGGGTTTCGGCGTACGAAGTGGCAAGCGTCGAAATTGAAGGAGAAGAAGAAGAAGAAGAAGAAGAAGAAGAAGAAGAAGAAGAAGGAGGAGGAGGAGGAGGAGGAGGAGGAGAAAGTAGTAGTAGTAGAAGAAGAAGAAGAAGAAGAAGAAGAAGAAGAAGAAGAAGAAGAAGAAGTAGAGGAAGTAGAAGAAGAAAGGAGAAGAAGAATTGAATGCATCCACGAGTCGATCGCAAGAATCGAACACGCGACCTTCCACATGGGAGTTAGATTTAGATAGATGCTCAACCAAACGGCTTAGCTGACTGGGATGAAAGTTAAACCCCAAGATGATTTGGGTAACCCAAGCCAGCACGGATTTCTCCGCGTCCCGGTGTACCATTCACAGTCGCACCCGACCACACAGGTCGTCGATGCAAGGCGACCGTACACGCCAGCTGACGCTGTACGACCTTACTGCTCGCTGTACGGAAGTCCGAATTAAATGCATCCACGAGTCGAGCCCAAGAATTCCAAGAATCGAGCACGCGACCTCCCACATGGGAGTTAGCCGCTCAAGCAAGCGGCTAAGCTGACTTGGAATGAAAGAAGAGTAGGAATCGAAAGCAAAAGCAGCAGCAGCAGCAGCAGCAGCAGCAGCAGCAGCAGCAGCAGCAGAAGAAGAAGAAGAAGAAGAAGAAGAAGAAGAAACAAGGAGGGGTGAGGGTTTTGATTAGAGATGCCATGTGGTAGAGGGGGGGGGGAAAGGAAAAAAGAAGATTGATGGAGTATGAGAAGGGACAGCGGCACATGGAGTGCAGGTCGGGATCGAAGGGGAGAGGAGAAACATGGGGAGGGTACCGTGTTGACACGTGGCAGTCACGTTGGGATCCGAAGAAGACGAAGGGTGTGTCTTGTGGAGGAGGAGGAGGAGGAGGAGGAAAAAGGAGGGGGAGGATGAGGAGGAGGAAAAAGGAGGGGGAGGAGGAGGAGGAGAGGAAAAAGGAGGGGAAGGAGGAGGAAAACGGAGGGGAAGGAGGAGGAGGAGAAAGGTAGAGCACGAGGGGAGCACCAGTTGGTTTCTCTTCCCAATGAGTGCCTTCTCCTTCTCATCACAGTGTTTTCCAGCCATTTATAAAACGGGCCAAGTGAATGTCATTGAGATGCGTAGCACTGTTTTCGAATGAAAACCTTCTCCAATTCTTACTGTCGGGTGATGTGTATCTTTCTTTGCCTATATATAGTATAGACACACAGGAGGAATGGCCTGCTAAGTCAAAGGCACCCAGCCTATGCAGCTCCTCCTTCGTACCCCACTTCACGCGACTATTCTATAGGCACGCTGAGTCTCCTTGATGCTGTTGTGGAACTCCATGGACTTATAGAAAAGAAAGGTTACTTAGGTTAGTTATGCCACCTTCTGTGAGTCCATTGTGAGGCTGAAGTGTTTTGTGCATCTGCTATCTTTTTTTTCTGAGCACCCCTGACTCTCCTCCTCTGTTTTGTGCTCTGTTTTATGCTTGACAGGAAGCCTGAGAAGGAAGACACTGACTGGTAACTGCAGTTAGAGATCGCGGATGATATTGCGCAGTCCGCGGGAAGATCTGGATCGCTAATGACATTGCTCGTGGTGAATCAATTGGGAGACCAGTTCTGCCGGGGCCCGGGACACCGGTTAAAATTGCAACGATACACAGAAGCTTAGCATGCATGGCCCCTGCGTGAGGATGACAGGTATAAATAGAGAAATTGGGAGATCAGATCTGGTGGCCGTTCTACCTCTCAAGACTCAAGACCTGTCTTTGGGGGCAGGAGATGCATGCGTATGCGTCCATTCTCTGGGAATGACCTGATGCAGCCCATGTCTCTCGGATTTGCTCCAGCGTGGATGACAAGAAAGACCTTCACAGGCTTGTGAGGATCAGTTTGATGAGTCTTCCTCTTTTTAGCTTTTTCCTTATGTCAGGTCCCACAGGTCCAATTAGACACGGCTGCCTGATTGCACAGCCGGCGGGAAATCTGGATTCATGAGTCGGGCCTCTGCCAGTTTGCTGCACGTGCTTGGTCGGACGTGCTGTTTGTGGAGATGAGCTACACGGCCTTTAAGACGGTGCACTGGCCGACAGGAGTGGAGTGTTGTGCTGCTGTGTATCTGACGCATTGCTCTGGAGACACAGACAGCGAAACGGGAGGATGGGTGGGCAGCACGGCAGGGCCGGAGTTCGGCTGGTACACTGCAACTACCCCTGGCCCTCAGAGAACCAGTTTCTGGAACCGCGTAAATGGAAAAGGGAGCAGCCAAGAAGCATCTGATGTCAAAGAGGCGGTGGGGTGGGTCCTCCCCAACCTTGTGGTCACCAAAGGTAATGTCCTGGAGGTGTACATTATAAGAGCAGATGCAGAGGAAACTCCAGATGAAAATACGGCGGCTTTAACAGCCCGTGAGAGTGGAGCCAGCGCTCTGGGAGGACGCAGGAAAGCAGGCGCTGCGTTTGGCGCGACTGGTGTGTGGCTTGAAAGTGCGTGTTCGTATCATCTCCATGGCAATGTGGAGAGCCTAGCCGTGCTGACACATCGTCGCGACGAAGGTAGGCGGAGACGAGATGCGCTGCTTCTGGCATTCCGGGAAGCAAAGGTCTCGGTTTTGGACTTTGATGATGCTACTCACTCGCTTCGAACTAGCTCCTTGCATTACTATGAAGGTCCTGAATGGGTACATCTGAAGGGAGGGAGGGAGGTGTTTGCACGAGGACCAATTCTACGAGCGGATCCTCAAGGAAGGTGTGCGGCGATGGTGGTCTATGGAGCACAGATGATCGTTTTCAAAGCGTCGCAAGCACTGTTTGGCTTGGAGGAAGAAGAGGAGCGGTCGGCTGCCAGTCGAGGGCGGAAGTGCACTGCTGCCATAGAGCTTTCGTATGTTGTTAATCTCCGGGAGGTAAACATAAAAAGTGTACGTGACTTTGTGTTTCTCCATGGCTACATAGAGCCTACTTTGCTGCTGCTACACGAAGAGGAACCAACATGGGCAGGCCGAGCATCAACGAAGCGTTTCACCTGCTCCGTTGCAGCGCTCAGTATCAACACGACTCTGCGTCAACACCCGATCATCTACTCGGCGAAAAGCTTGCCGTACGATGCGTGTACAGTACTGGCTGTTCCCGCGCCAATTGGTGGAGTGGTGGTCCTCGCTGCCAACTCCCTCCACTATCACAGTCAAAGCTCAGCATGTGTGTTGGCTCTGAACGACCTTGCCGCTTTCCCAGAGGGAACCCCTCCTCCGCCCAGGTCAACGTTGAACGTAGAACTGGATGCAGCCCAGGCGACCTGGATCGCAAACAATACAGCACTTATATCGACAAAGACCGGTGATCTTCTCCTCCTCTCCATGGTCTACGATGGAAGGGGAGTGCAGGCGTTAGAATTGTCAAAGTCGAAGGGTTCTGTGCTCTGCTCCTGCATTTGCACCCTGGGCGACGAGTTCTTCTTCCTCGGTAGCAGGCTTGCTGACAGCTTGCTAGTGCAGTACACTGCCAACCAAGGGGGAGAAGAGGGCTCTGGGACAGTGGAGGAGCTTAGCTCTGCAGCAACTGCAGCTCCGGGCACTCCAGAACGCTCTCCCAGTGAGCAGGATGATGCATCAGAGGATGGCGAGGGACTTGGGGACGGAAAATCTCGCGCCAAGAGGATGCGCCGATCCCTGACGGATTTGTCGATCGATTCCTGTGCAACCGCAGAAGAGCTGTCTGTGTATAGAACGTCCCCTGGAGTGTTCGACTCCCTGCAGAGAAAGACGTTCACATATGAAGTTTGCGATTCTTTGCTGAACATTGGGCCTCTGCGGGATTTTGCTTACGGGCGTAGGCCGAACTTCGATCCAAAGGCAGCTGGCTTGGCGAAACAGAGCAATTTCCAGTTGCTTGCTTGCTCTGGCCACGGCAAGAACGGTGCGCTATCTGTGCTGCAGAGCTCATTGCGCCCGGATCTTATCACAGAGGTCGAGCTTCCGGGTTGCCAAGGTATCTGGACTGTGTACCACAGGGTTGGGGAGGAGGAGGAGGAGGAGAGGAAGGAGGAAGACCTTGATGCTGCGCCTCGAGAGGCAGGGTTGGCAGCAACTCTAGGTTGGGATGATGTTGACAGTGAATTCCATGCGTATCTGGTTTTGAGCATGGAGTCGAGGACCATGGTTCTGGAAACCGGCGAGTTCCTTAACGAGGTAACGGAGACTGTGGAGTATTATACCGCAGGGCCGACCATCGCAGTAGGGAATCTTTTCGATAGGAGACGCGTGGTGCAGGTATATGCAAGGGGGGTGCGGCTTCTAGACGGGGCGACAAAATCAGAGGAGCTTGTCTTTGGTGAATCCTCGAATGCCGATCCGGTCGATGAAGATACTGTTCCTGAAGTTGCTGACAGTGGGAAGGAGGGAGGGGAGGGGGCTAGTGGAGGGGAGGGGCAAGAGGGAAGACAGGTAAAGGAGGAGAGGGAGGAGGCCAAGGGAGAGGAGGAAGGGGAGGGGAGGGTTGTGTCTGGAGCTGGCGAAGGAGAAGGCAGTGACTCGAAACTAGGTGTTCCTGGCGACGGATGTTCCAAAGCAGATGAAATTCTGGTCACTTCTGCTTGTGTATCTGACCCATTCGTGCTTTTGACAATGACAGACGGCAGTCTTCGGTTGGTGGTTGGGAATCCAATAACAGTGACCTTGGAGCTGATCGCGCCGTCTCTCGTTGGCGACACCAGTGATTTGGTGACAGCATGCTCCCTTTATCGCGATCGCCATCCCCACGCTTGGCTGGTGGATCACCTGGCTGACAAGGAGACCCAGCAAACGTTAGGAAGCGACCAATCGAAGTCAAAAGGCGAAGGATGTCAGCCTCGTGCAGAAAGCTGTGTTTACTGCGTTGCATGTAGACGAAGCGGACGGCTTGAGCTGTACAGCCTGCCTGCATTCGCGTGTGTCTTTTCTGTAGAAGGTTTTCACCTTGGGAAGAGTGTGTTGATCAATCGGGGGGGTCAGACAGATGGGGAGGGAATGGGAAAAAGGCCATTGACAAAGATCATCGAAGAGGGTGAAGGGGAGACGGAAACAGCGATGGACGAGGAAGAACCTGCCACAGAGGAAACCAATGAGGCAACCACCAATCCGGAGAGTGCAGAGAAGATGGAAGTGGATGGAGTTCCGGATGGGGAGACGGAAACGGCGGATGCCTGTGAGAAGAAAGGTGACGATGATGCCAAAGTGAAAGAGGAAATCGGCGAGGGAGAAAGAAGGCCGATGGTTAGGAGGAGGGGCAGGAGAATCGTCGATGCTAGTCAAGAGATTGGTGAGATTTTTGTGAGAGAGATCTGCATGGAGAGGTTTGGGGACAGATTCGGAAGGCCCTTTTTGCTTGCCATTCGTAGCGATGGTGTCATGCTTTGCTACCGCGGGTTCAGGTATTACGATGGACGGCGGGAATCGTCTGCAGAGCTCAATTGCAGTGCCCAGGACTCCGAAAGGTGTGGCCAAAAGGAAAAAGCTGCTGCGAATGGTGCGAACGAGGCGCTGCAGCATGCGGTGAAAACTGAGGGGGAGAGTGGCGGAGCAGAAGAGGGAAGGGCTGCTGCCGCTGCAGACAAGACAGCGGATGCAAGAAGCACACTCGACCATCTGCGGTTCGAGAGAAGACCGATCAACTGGGTACCGTGTGAAGGGGATGTGCAGGAGCCGGGAAAGGGGTGCAAGATGATCTGCTTCAGGAACGTGGGGGGGCATAGGGGGGTTTTTATAACAGGGGTGCGACCGGTGTGGCTCATCTCCTTGAGAGAGAGATTCAGACCGCATCCCCAGCTTTGTGACCAGGGCATCACTGCATTCACCCCTTTGCACAACGTTAACTGCGACCGCGGCTTCATCTACCTCAGCTCTGAAGGCGTTCTTAAGATTTGTCAATTGCCGACTTATCTCAGCTACGATAGCGACTGGCCTGTTCAAAAAGTCCCGCTCCGCGTCACCCCACACCATATTGCCTATCACCCGGACGCGAATGTTTATGCGCTTGTGACCTCCTCCCCTGTGAAGAGAACCCTTCTCCAGGCAATGATACCCTCTGCCGAGGGACTCAGCGGTCGTGCCAATGCGGCGGACGCCTCCGGCGGAGGAGGGGCGGCCGCTACAGCCGGTGGCAATGAGGACGAAGAACCTATGGTCGACGTCGAGGAATTTGAGATAAGGGTTGTCAATCCTGGAGGAAACTGGGAGACCAAGGAGAGCACCACCTTCCACCTCATGGAGAACGTTCTCACAGCGCGAATCGTGAACATGAAGAACTCGAAGACCAGCCAGTTGCAAACGCTACTTGCCGTCGGGACCGCTTTTGTGCACGGCGAGGATGTTGCCGCCAAGGGTCGAATCCTCCTGTTTCATATTACCGATCCCGGAGAAGACGCGTCCGGCAGCTGGATACAAGAAGTGTTCTCGAAAGAGCTTAAGGGCGCGATCTCCGCGGTTGCCGCGGTCCAAGGCAGGCTATTGATAGCAGTAGGCCCCAAAATTATCCTCCACACTTGGGATGGTTCTGACCTAAGTTGGGCTGCATTTTTTGATGCCCCTCTCTACATTGTCAGTCTGAACACTGTCAAAAATTTTGTTCTGGTGGGAGATGTTCATAAAAGCATTTTTTTCCTGTCCTGGAAGGAGGAGGAAAACCAGCTAAAACTTCTTGCGCGGGACTTCGAGTCACTGGATGTTTATGCAACAGAGTTTCTGATCGACGGTGGGATTCTCAGCCTGCTTGTGACTGACAGTGACAAAAACCTGCAGGTTTTCTCTTTTTCCCCGAAACGCGTCGAAAGCTGGAAGGGGCAAAAGCTCCTTCCGAGGGCGGAGTTTCACATCGGGGCGCATGTTGCGAAATTCCTTCGCTTGCCCATGTTGCCGATCGCCAGCGCGCCACGGACAAACCGCGCTGCCGTTTTGTTTGGCACACTGGATGGGGGGTTAGACTTGATTGCACCGGTAGACGAACTCACCTTTCGTCGGCTACAGACTTTACAAGGATGGCTAGTTGGGGCAGTCGCGCATACTGCAGGGTTGAATCCGGTGTCGTTTCGAAGGTTCAAGTCTCCAGGGAAAGCACATTTCCCTGGGCCGCAGAACATCATTGACTGTAACCTCATAGCTCACTATGCAATGATGGAGCTGGGAGAACAGGTAGAGATAGCCAGGCAATGTGGGACAACAAGGACTCAGATATTTGCCAATCTCTGTGATCTTGCAGTGTCTACGAGTTTTTTTTGATGGTTCAACCGTTCTCTATTTGTTTTCCTGTTTTTTT